TTGACTGCCGTTTCAGTTTGAAAATTAAAGAGGTATCGTCAGCAAATAATACTATATCGTGATTGTCTCCCACAAGATAAGGTAAGTCATTAATATAGATTAAGAACATGAATGGGCCAATAATCGAGCCCTGAGGAACGCCCATTGATACTACCGATCCGGAGGAACATTTACCATTAATGACGACTTTTTGAGTTCTGTTACTTAAATATGAAGTAATAAGTCTAAGCGCCAAATTTTTTACACCGTAATGTTGTAGTTTCCTGATTAATGTATCATGATGAACACAATCGAAAGCCTTGGAAAGTCGCAGAAAATACCTCAGGCATCTTGTGAATTCTCCCAGGCATTAAAAATATATTTCATAAGCTCAACACCGGCGTCAGACGTCGAACGACCCCTTTTAAAACCAAATTGATTTTTATGAAGTAATTTATTTGTATTAAAAAAAATTAACAATTGATCCAAAATTATTTTTTCAAAAACTTTACTGAGAGTTGGTAGTACAGAAATAGGTCTATAATTAGCGGGGTCCAATGTACTACCAGATTTAAATAAAGGTATTACTTTACTATACTTTATTAAATCAGGAAACACACCAGAATTGATACAAGTATTAAAAATAATAGCAAGATGAGGTGCAATTAAATCTATTATGGACGCAATCACTGTGACGGAAATCCCCCACAAATCTGCGGTTTTCTTTACATCAATGGTTTTGAAGTATTTTACAATATTATGCGGTAATACTTTTTCAAATCTAAATTCTTTTAAACAGGTATTAACATTATGTTTAAGTAATGACTCGGCGACAGTTGGAGAAGTATTCAATGACTGTGTTGTCAAGATAGGAACATCGGTGAAATATTTCTCAAACACCGCTGCATTTTCTTGATTTGATTTAGTCAATTCATTTGAATTGTCATTCAATTGAAAATACGAGTAAAAAGGTTTCTACTTTTATTTGAAATACTCCCAAATTGAATATGATTTTTTTTGCCCACCAATCGACTCTTACGAATGTGTGCCTGCGCAGTAAAATCAGTTAAAATAACGTATTACAACGCATTTTGAATTTAAAAGATTCTTTAAAGAATTTAGGGGGTCATTGTAGAAGCGTGCTCGTCGCGACCCCTGCCAGCCCTTTTCAGGGCTGCAATTCTACTCAGCTGCGCACCCATGCCAACGAGGGTTAGGGCGTCCCCCCAAGGCGACGCACACCAGCTCGTCCCCGTTGGTGTGGAATGCAGCGCGCAAAGCGGCGATGGGGACCGCCACCCGTCACGCACAGCCCGACACGGCGGAAGGTGGAGGACAGAGTGCAGAGTTGGCACGTGGAATGTTAGAGGAGGCATGAGACATAAGACGAATGAGTTGATCGAAATAATGAAAGAAAGAGAATTAGATGTCGTGTGTATGTCGGAGACCAAACGGAAGGGCAGTGGTACTGAAGAGCTCCCTGGCGGGGCGTTAGCTCTATGGTCCGGAATCCCGGAGAGCGAGAGCGCCTGCCAGGGAGTGGGGGTGCTGCTGTCTTCTCGGTTGGTCGATGTTATGACTAAATATAAGGTAGTGAACTCAAGACTTCTCTGGGTTCGCTTTAAATTAGGACTGACGAAGTTATTCCTTTTGGCTGTTTATGCGCCGGTAGCTTCGTCGTCCAGGGCTGAGCTGGAGGAGTTTTGGGAGAATGTAAGAGAAGTTCTAGATTTGGCTAGGGGAAACGAAAAAATTGTTGTATGTGGTGATTTGAATGGATGGGTTGGTACCGCTCGACCAGGGTACGAGTCGGTACTTGGAAAGTTTGGCGATAAAAGGGTTAATGATGCTGGCAAGCTTATACTGGCGGTATGCAAGGACAAGGTCTTCTTGTGACAAACACTATGTTTAATCACAAGAAAATCCATATGTATACTAGAGAACGAAAGAATGAGAGAAGTATGATCGATTTGTTCCTGGTGGATGACCGACTGCGAAAACAGGTGATGGATACGCGAGTGTTCAGGGGTGCTGACCTGGGAACGGACCACTATCTAGTGATTACTAGATTTAGGGGTCTGTTCGCGGGTTGGCGCTACCGGACGGCAGTAACAGAACCACAGTCGGTCTGTCGCATCCGAAGCTGGAAGCTTCAGGAAGCGGATACTAGGGACAAATATCATGCGAGGGTAGCCGAAAAGCTTGACACCATCGATTGCAGAAAAGAATGTGTAGAAAGAACATGGCAGAACCTTAGGGATGGAATGGTAAGTGCAGCGGAAGAAGTGTGTGGAACAATAAAAAGAGGCAGTAGTAAAAGAAGAGATGCATGGTGGAATGATGAAGTGAAAGAAGCTGTAAAGAAGAAGAAGAAAGCATGGTTAGACTACTTGGCCTCTAGTAATGATAAGGATATGAGAGAGAAGATGAAAGAAAGATATAGGCTGCAGAAAGTTCACATGAAAGCATTGATTGAGGAAGTGCGTGAAAGGTGTAGAATGGAAGCGGACGAAAGGTTGTCGCACAACTTTAAGGAGAACTCCAAACTCTTCTGGTAAGAGGTTGGAAGGACCCGGAGTGGTGCGACGGCCTTAAGAATGAACAAAGTGCTTTCGAGAACTAATGACGTCCTCTCAGAAAAATCATACATCATGCAGCGATGGAGCGAATTTTATAGAGAAATGTATGCGTGTGGTGATCTTAGTGAGGGATCCGGGGATGACGCGTGACTGGTACGCCAGACCCAGACCTCGATGACACTGAGGTCATCAGTATGAAAGAGATTGAACGTGCGATTCGAAGTTTGAAATGTGATAAGGCTGTGGGACTAGACAGAGTTACTGCTGAAATGGTCAAGTATTGTGGGCCTTGCGTCTAGGACAGCTTTCATCTGCTGTGCAATTTGTGCTGGCGGACGGGGGATGTCCCGGATAATTGGCGATCCGCAGTCATTTTGCCTTTATATAAAGGTAAAGGTTCACATTTTGACTGCGGGTGCTATCGGGCGATCAGCTTGACCAGTTTAGCAAGTAAAGTTTACTCGAAGGTTTTGACACGTAGGATGCAAGAGAAATCGGAAAGATTTCTATGAGAGGCACAATGCGGATTTAGACCTGGAAGAGGATGCACGGATCAAATGTTTTCTCTCTGCATGATCACGGAAAAGCTTCTGGCTGCTAACCAGAAGATTTTCTGTGCTTTTGTGGATCTTGAGAAAGCATTTGATAAGGTTGTAAGGAAGAAAATGTGGGAACTGTTGCCGGGGTATGGTGTGGATGGTCGATTGCTAAGGGCTGTGCAGTCTCTTTACTGTGACTGTAAAGCCTGTGTGCGGGTAGGGCATGACCTGTCACCCATGTTTAGCATCCAAACGGGCGTAAAACAGGGTTGTGTCATGTCTTCCTGGCTGTTCATACTGTATCTCGACAGCTGTTTACAGAAGCTGAAAGATAGCTGTTTGGGTGTGAAATTGGGTGACATAAAAGTAAATTGTCTGCTGTATGCTGATGATGCAGTGCTTATTGCACCATCAGAGGCAGAACTGCAGGCATTAGTCACGTGTATGAAAGAGAAATGTGAAATTAAAGGTCTCCGTTTGAATGCTAATAAAACTAAGGTTCTGGTATTTGAAAGGGACGAAGAGAGAACGAAGTGTGAAATATGGGTAAATCAGGAATGTCTAGAACAGGTAAATGAAATTGTATACTTGGGGAGTGCTTTTAGCCGGGATGGAAGATGTGATTTAGATGTGGACAGGCGTGTCGCTGCCGGGAACAAAGTCAATGGTGCCCTGACTGCGTTAGTCAAAAGGCAAGGCGTAGTGAAGAGTGCACACCTTGCAATACATAATGCAGTGTTGGTACCGACTTTGTTATATGGCAGCGAAACCTGAGTATGCCAGAAGAAGCATAAAAGCAAGTTGAATGCAGTGGAGATGCGATCTCTTCGTAAAATGTGCGGCGTTACCATGGCCGACCTAAAGCGAAACGAAGAGATTCGCAATATGGCAGGTTTGAAAGATGACCTTATCACAAAAATTGATAAGGGCGTGCTTCGGTGGTTTGGGCACGTTGAGCGAATGAGTGAAGACCGAATGGTGAAGAAAATATATAGCGCGAAAGTTAATATTAAAAGGTGTCGAGGTAGACCGAGACTAACTTTCGAAGACCATGTGAGCAAATTGCTCGAAGAGGGTAGGGTCAAGAGTACTCGGATACCTAGACGTGCATGTATGAAGAAGATAATGAATCTGAAAGAAGCGAAAGAGGTATATAAGGATCGTGACACTTGGCGATCTGTTCTCTCTGGCTACCCCGTCAGGGATTGTGCGTGAAGATAAGCAATTTGAAGAATTTAAAAAGGACAGAATGTTTGAGATTTTTTTAATTCATATTTCTTCACGATTTGCCTACATTACATAATATTCTGAACCTTCTCAGCAAATTTGGCCGGTTTTGCAAAATAACCATGTATATATTTGACTAATATCAATAATAATTGACTGCCTTGTTGGTCTAGTGTTTGTCAACGCGACTGGTGGTCATGAGGTCCCAGGTTAGAATCTCGGGTCGGGCCATAAAAATCAGTTATTGAGTTTTTCCGTCAAGAAATTCTCAGTAACTAGAATTATATAGTTGGCTGTGTCTCACCCCCGTGCGCCTCGGAAAGAACGTAAAGCCGTTAATCCTGCACCTGGTCTCTCTCCGGTCGTGTCGCTTTACCGTCCCGCCGGACTATGAGAGTGAGGGAACAGGGAGTGCACCTGTGCTTATGTATGCACACTTGGGCGCTATAATCCTGTCCTGCGCCGATGGCTAGTCTCCGTAGATGCCGGATGCCGTGACCGAAATTCGGTCTAGCGCCCAGCCTCGACGGAGTCGATCATTATTATATATGGAAATAAATATTATTATTATTAATGCGTAAACAGCGAAATGATAATCTGAAGTCTAACATTTCAATAATTAATCTGAGTTCCATAAGTTGTGCTAATGTTTTAAATACGAAAAATATCTGTTTAGAAATGAATGCTGGGCAGCGCTACGTGGTATATAGTAACGGAGAACCTGATGAAAGACGGCGCGTCCGGCCCATAACGGTTCTTGCAACGTTTGACTACCTTGGGAATGGCGTTGTATTTGATCATACTGGTAAAATCAGGTACAATATTATTATATCTCCATTATTTCTAGATGTTCATTCAATTAATGTCGAGGTTTAATTTCCTAACAAGTTCATAGTCGTTATTTTTTATTTATTTATTTCAAAACTTTATTGTTCTAACCAGTAAAAAGGTTACAAAGGGCGGACTTAATGCCAGTTTGCATTCTCTGCCAGTCAACCCATGGCGTGGTGAGAAATTAGTGGCAGGTGACTTAAGTAACTCAATATAATAAATTTATATAAATATAACACTTATTAAATCATGCCTCAGTATTTCCACTAATTACTTACGGCTGTTTAATATTTTCTACGCGTTTGGCAGAGTAAAACAATTCATCACCTCATTTATTCTCGTAGGTGTCATAAGTGAGAAAGTGCCAAGTTTAGCAATGGACTTTTTTTTATAGAATATTTGTGTAACAAGAAAATGTCGCTGCGAATAAAATAAGAATTATAGTCATTCGGTCCGGTCTTGCCCAGCGATCGTAAATCCGCCAAGCGTGACGATTAAAGCAAATTCTCCCTATAACGGGCGAGGCGCGGCGAGGAGGTCTAGCTGAGGACTTTTACGAGTTATTAGACAGATGTATTTTAAATATTAGAAAAACAAAATGTCGGAATGTATTTTTTTTTATAGGATAAGGGTGACAAACGGGCACACATTCCACGTGATGGTACGTGGTTGTTGCGGCTTATAGACATCTACATCTATCCTCTATTACAAATCAAAATGCAGATGCGTTGTCACCCGTGAGGACTAACATTGAATGCCTCCTTTCCAGTAAATAGGGTCTCCGGTTCTCTACACTCACCATACGAAATACAGCAGCGTTAAGCTGCTATTTTACGCTGATATACTGTGAGAGCGTGGTCCTTCCCCGGTCGAGCCGACCCATTCGTGCTACAACTATACTACTAATATAGCCGCAGCATGGCTCTACCACGTAAAATCTGTATGTATGTATAGAAGATGTAACAATTTTTTTTTTCAAATGGCAACCCCACGCGGTTCTCCCCACTAATGATGGATTACTATAAATGGCATGACATCGATTTATTTTTGAAGTGAAAACTTCTATGAAATCGTTATTATTAAAAACTCTAAGAAACGAAAAAGAAAAAGAAACACATATAAATAGGATTTCGCCTGCGAGAGAATGAGATAAAATGCAGTGTACATTGAGTGTTTCCTATTATTGCGGTCTCCTTTTCTGAAGGTTTCACTTCTACCGCGTGTGAACTGCACACATATTTTTTTCGTTGACGAACACACTGTTCACCCATTGATTAGAGGATAGTGTGTGGACCATAGACTTCTACATCTATCCTTGATTAAGAATCAAAATGCAATGCGTTGTCATTCAAGCGGGGCTAGGCAAGGCGACTTTACAGTTAACGCTTATAGAAAATGAGCGGGAATGACATATTTCAACTTTAAGTAACGATATTTAACACTGACTTCATTTTTACGTGGTAGAGCCATGCTGTAGCTATATTATGGTTGAAGCACAAATGGATCGGCTCCACCGGGGAAGGACGTGTTTCGTATGGTGAGTATAAAGAACAGGAGATCTTTTTTACTGGAAGCGAGACATTCCATCTTAGTCCTCAGCCACCACTGTGTACTGTGTGCTCGTTTGTGACCCTTATTCTATTAAAAAAATACATTTATGTAGTTTTATATTAGCGTTAACGATTGTGGCAAATCAACTTTAATAAGCCCGCCGAGGACTTTTCTTTCTAATTACCTAAGATCATTGATGGTAATAATGTTGATGACAAGTTAACAAGGTGTTTATTATTTCTAACTGACATAAATACTCGCAATTTGGTAGTAGTTATAACACACAATGTATTTTGTACGCTGCATTTTCAGGCTCAAGTATAACCAAACCGAAGGTGTCGTTATGGATAGGGAAATAGGCCCTGTTTCACACTGGAAGTGGCACGATCTTAATGACCCTCCTGTCCTGCAAAAAGTAATGACAGATACTCAATTGCCTGTGAAAGATCCTGATATATTAAAACTTGGTGGAGCTGAAGTTAATACACCGCGGAGAGATAATGAAGAGATGCTGGCAATTGAGTTTGATAATTTTATTAAAGAAAAAAGTAAAAAGTTGACACAAAAATTCAAACCATTTCAAATAACAACGAAGGCATTAAAAATTAATGAAAATTTCTCCTTGAGAGTTTTGGATCAAGCTACCGTGTATCTGTTATTTAGGGATGGCACCACGAACTTAAAATTAAATTTGGGAATGATTTTGGATCACCAAGAAATTGTGGATACTGACACAGCTGATGTTGGAGAAGTTGCTACCAACATGGAACGATTCCCTGCCCGCACAGATAGCTTGGCAATGCTGCAACGTATCGTGGCGCATGCGCAGCATGTTGAAAAATTACGAATAGAACGCGAGCGTCGATTCAGATTTACCGAAAATAATTCAAGCATCGATCGTATACATACAGAAACTTTATCGCGACCTTTACAGGCCCCAATGGATTCTGTAGCTGAAATTGACTGTTTTTGTCAATTAAAAAAATCGTCGATATTTAATATAGGTTCCGATCTTATTTAAACCAAAGCTAATTTAATTTTTAAATATCCAATTTTAATTTTGTTTTTCTCTTAAAATTTAAAAAAAAAGTTATCAAACAATTAAATGCATGAGATTAGGTAAATAGAGCTTTACGCATTAATAAAATCCATTAATATATAGATATGTATTTATCCTTTCCTATATTTATAAAAGATTATTATACTATTGATCTATAATTATTGTTTTATACTTACCTTTATAGACAAATACAAAATTTTATATTTTACACTGAATTTATTTCTTTTTTTTTTATTTGTGGTCTTTATATTAACTGTGTAAAATAATGCAATATGATTTTTTTAGGTATATTAGCTCGCTTTAAAAAATAAATGTTTTTGATTGATCTTATGTACTTCTTTTATATTTGACAATTATTATCTCTTTAAAATGTGGATTTGAATACGAGTCAGAGATCAGTTGAACTGATCAGTTAAAACGGATGTAAGCCAAAACGATTTCCCCACACACTAGCTTCAAACCGGCCTTAATTGCTATTTGGTTTGTATAAAATTGAAGAAAAATCTCTTTGGTTGTATACTGTTTGTATCTGGCTGGTTTTAATATCAATACTTATAGGTCATTAAGGAAATCTATACAAATAAATAAAATTTGAAGTGTCTATTTGTAACCTAAAAATAACAGCTTTTTACTAAATGCATATAAAAGCATATACGGTACTTATGACAAAAACACAATTTTAAAAAACTTTGTCTGTCTGTCCGTCTGTTTGTTCCGGCTAATCTCCGAAACGGCTGGACCGATTTTGACGGGACTTTCATTGGCAGATAGCTGATGTTACAAGGAGTAACATAGGCTACTTTTATTTTAGAAAAACAATTAGTGTTTCGCACAAAAATAATAAAATCAAGAAGTAATAAATTGAACGCGGACGAAGTCGCGGGGAACAGCTAGTTAAAAATAAAAAGTAAAACACTTTCCCGATATTTTTAATTTTTTTTTTGTTCGCCAAAATGAGTGAATTCAACAAAGAAATTAGTTTTATTCTGAAATTCGGTTTATGGACCCAATGCATTGTCAGTAAGTGTAGCACAAAGTTAGTTAAAGCGTTTTCAGTCCGGGAATTTTGATGCCAAAGATGCAGCTCGCTCTGTTTGCCCTCATACGGATAAAGTCGATGCCATTTTTGAAAAAGTGGAGCAATATCGACATATTATTAGCTACGATATAGCCTAGGAATTGACGATTGACCACAAAACGGTTTTGTCCCATTTGAAAAAGTCTGTCTACACAAAAAAGCTCGATATTTGGATACCACACGAGCTCACTGAAAGAAACCTAATGAATTGTGAATAATCCGGTTCAACACGCAATAAGGTGACGCTGTGTGTATGGTGGGATTGGAAGGGCATCGTTTATTATGTTACCGCTAGGCAATACCATTGATTCGGATATCTAAAGCCAGCAACTAATGAGACTCAAGCAAGAAATTGAGAAAAATCGGCCGGAATTAATCAACAGTTTGCTGTGCCGACGAAACGTTGGTGGTTGCTAGCGGGGTCACCTTCGAGAGGGCTAAAGAGCTCGCCGAGCTTGGGGCGGAAGTCGTCGTCGCTAAAATCCACGAGGTGAGATTAGAAATAGCGCCTCACAAGACCAAGGCCCTATGGTTCCATAAATTACGACGCGGCAGGGAACCACCCGACTCGTGTGTCCGCGTAGGTGGGTCTGAAGTCCGAGTGGGGCGGTACATGAAGTACCTAGGCCTCCACCTGGACAGTCAATGGGGCTTCGAAGAACACTTCGAGCACCTTGTCCTCCGAATTGAAAGGGTAGCGGGTGCTATGCATAGACTGCTGCCCAATCTAAGGCGACCAAGGGAAGAAGTGCGTCGCCTCTATGCAGGAGTGATACGATCCGTAGATCCTTGTACGGGGCGCCTGTTTGGGCGAAAAGGCTGGCCATCTAACGCTGTAGAGCTAAAATCTACAGGGTGCAGCGGAGGATGGCCATATGGATCGTGCGAGGATACCGCACGATATCCTTTGAGGCGGCGACAGTCCTGGCTCGCTTTTCACCTCTGGACATACTCACAGACATGAATGCGAGGGTGTACCACCGGACGCGTGTCCTCCGCCAGAGCGTCGGGAGTGAGCCAGATGACGTGTTCGAAGGAGTCAAGCGGCAGGAACGACTTTACGCATTCGTAACGAGGCGCGCTCGTCTCTGAAGAGCGTTATGCGCGCAAACGCGTTATTGAAGCAATCCTGCCGCATTTTGAAGCCTGAATGCATCGAAGTACAGGAAGACTATCTGTGTAATTCGTTATGGTCCAGAAGGAGGCTGCTGAGCGGTGTGTGAGAGGACAGATCCCGTTCGGAGACGACGCCACCAAGGCGTTCGTCACGGCCCTCCCCTTGATGATGATGTCCCCCTACCAGAAGCGGGACCTCGGGGGTTACGGGCGCTCGAGGCGGGGGCACCGAGCGTCTAGTGATGTAACACCTGTGGAGGACGGTGACTCGGAAGTGGTCTCGAGAACCGTGATAGCATTGCAAGGGTGCTGGGGGTAGTAAGGACTGCCCCCAGGACGTGCTTTAATAGAGCAAAGCGAGAGAGGGGCCCCGGTTGCGTTCCGAACGGAGATCCCGCGAACCCTCATATACGCAGCCCCAGCCCAGAGATAGGAACAGTATTCCATATGAGGCCGAACCTGCGCCTTGTAAAGTTGCAGGCGTTGTGCCGGCATGAAATACTGTCCCGCTTTGCTGAACACGCCAAGCTTTTTCAAGGCCAATTTGGCCTTCTCTTCCAAATGACCACAAAGCTGCACGTAATTTATATTATATTACATAATATTGCGTCGTTGGTCTAGTGGTTGTAACTGCGACTGCTGATCATGAGGTCCCGGGTTCGAATCCTGGATCGAGCTAAAAAAAAAGTTATTGAGTTTTCCGTCAAGAAATTCTCAGTAGCTACACGGAGTCAAGAAGTTGGAGGTGTCTCACCCCCGTGCCTCGGATAGCACGTCAAGCCGTCGGTCCTGCGCCTGATCTCTCTACGGTAGTGTCGCTTTAGCGTCCCAGGACTATGAGAGTGAGGGAATAGAGTTCATCTTTGCTTGCGCATACACTTGGACACTATAATCCTATGCTGTGCCGATGGCTAGTCTCCGTAGATGCTGGCCGCCGAGACCGAAATTCGGTCTGGAGGACATTATTATACATACATAAACATAAACACTCACGCCTGTCACCCAGAAGGGTAGGCAGAGACTACAACCTCCCATTTGGCACGATCCTGACACCTCCCCCGCCTCCTCAACATACATATACCTACGCATACATTCTCGTCGGTTAAAGGTAGAAGTGCTTGGGTACAAGCAGTTTTTTTTTATCTTTATTTTACGAGAATCGACTGGTTCAGAGGCCAAGGGCTATATACAGATGAAGGAATAACCTAAATACCAGACTTAAAATAATAAGATGGCGAGACCTAAAAGAAGGAACGGCGTCAAACATTCAAAATATCTGGTCCTGGTACTGGTATCGCAAATTGTTTTATTGCAACGCTAGCATTTGAAAAAATATTAATTTTTAATAAAAAGTAAAAGCCGACAACAAAGAACTAAAAAGAATAAAAAAATGTCTCATTCTGAAAGCGGTGCATAGTGAAGAGAAGAATTAATAAATATTTATTTCTAGTTCTTTCTAGCCTGCTTTTAATTTTTTACCCTTTTGAATGTAATAAGGAACATAAAAATCTCAATGTGGTCTAACTACAGGCTGTCCCTCAGCAGATTTTACACTTTGAATCGGCTTTACGTGAACAGGAGTTGCGGCAGGGATGGGAATGAGGTATCGTTCCACGCAGGAGTGTCGCGGGTTATTTAATAACCAAGAGTGGAAGGGAACGTATCGCGCTTTTGAAGTTGAGGCGTATTTCACTAATAATAATTCGGTGAACGTAGCAAGGCGTCGTCCTGAGTACGGAAGTTCAGAGAGTCTGGATCAGTTGGAAATGAGGCCTGGTCCTTCAACGTCTGTCACGATTCCTGAAAATGTGAGTCGCGTGTGATTATGGGCCCTTATTTTTTTGGCGAACATGAAACCGTCACTGTAGAAAGATACTGCGAGACGCTGGACAACTTTTTTTATCCCAGAGCTACGTAACTATGCTGGCTTCAATAACAGAACACATTTCCAGCATAATGGGGCCACGGCTCATACCGCTAAAGTCTCAAGAGAGAAAATAAAGAGCATTTTTCCGTGAAAACTAATAAGCCGCTTTGGTGACATCGACTGGCCCAATAAATTTCGGACCTAACGCCGTGTAATTTTTTCCTGTGGGGATACATTAAATCTCGCATATATACCAATTCGCCATCGACAATAAGAGCCCTACAGGAAAATATCCGTCGCGAAATCACCAACATCAGACCAGATCTCCGCAAGCGAGACTTCGACAACATGAAGTTAAGATTGCAAGTGCTTAGAGCTAAACGGGCGTCATTTATGTGGTGTTTTAAAACTTGAAATCCGCACTATTTCATTATAAGGAAATTAGTAAATAAATTTGATTGCATTTAAATTTGAGTTTTTATTATTAGTTAAAGTGTAAAATCTGCCGGCGGACAGCCTGTAGATAACTTCATCCCCCTTATTTTGCCAGACTTAGGAGGGGAATTTTTTCTCCGAACTTATATGGGTCCGCCTCTGAAGAACATAACCCATTTAATAAAAAAGTAATCATCGAAATTGGTTCACAATTCACGAAGATATCATTTATCGCGTAACATATATTTGAATTGTAAACCTTTCATTTTTGGAGGTCCTCTAAAATTTACTTTTTCGAGTGTTGGAGATTCTTCTAATGGCATTTACTCTAATTCTAACTATAGTATTCAGATAATAAATTAACACTGGTGAAAAAAATATGCATTTATTAACAATATATTATAATTAATAATCTATTTAGTTGAACATATTATACAAAATCCATGTAGTAAAAATTTAAGCTTTTTTTTCTACGATTAACATAGAAATAACATAAATTCATAAATATTGTGCTATGCTAGTTGTACTTGAGAATGGTCGGATGTACTCTCTGCAGAATCTCCACCTCCATTGGCTAATAGCTCGGAGTCTGCGCGGGCTCTAGCGGCTGCGGCTGCGCCTTGGCTTTTATTGCGAAGCTCAAAAACTTGGGTGATTGCATCACGGAAGCACAAGAAATTGTAATCAATCACTCCTAAAACAAAAATAAAAACTCTACGTAGAACTTCAATTTCTGCCTACGGATCTGTCTGGGTATATATATCAACCGCTTATCTATTTCTACCGTCAAACAACAGTTCGTGAACTGATGTTTCAGGTTCGAAGATTGTTAAGTCTGTCATCATCATCATCATCATTACAGCCCTTCACAAGTCCACTGCTGAACATAGGCCTCCCCCAAAGAATGCCACAAAGCACGGTCCTGAGCCACCTGCATCCATCGACTTCCTGCATGTCTTACCAGGTCGTCACTCCATCTCGTGGGGGGACGCCCTACACTTCGCCTACCGGTACGAGGCTGCCACTCGAGAACCTTTCTTCCCCATCGGTTGTCGGTTCTTCGAGCTATATGGCCGGCCCACTGCCACTTCAGCTTACTAATCCGTTGGGCTATGTCGGTTACTCTGGTTCTACTGCGGATATCCTCATTCCTAAGTTTATCACGCAGAGAAACTCCGAGCATAGCCCTCTCCATAGCTCGCTGAGCGACCTTGAGCTTCCTCATACGGCCAGCAGTGAAGGACCACGTCTCAATTCCATAAGTCATCACTGGCAACACGCACTGGTTGTATAATTTCGTTTTCAGGTTTTGAGGTATGTCTGACGAGAAAATGTGTCGTAGCTTCCCGAACGCTGCCCAGCCGAGTTGAATCCGTCGATTGACCTCTCGGTCGAAGTTGGACTTACCTAGTCGGACTATTTGTCCCAGGTAAACATAATCGTCAACAACTTCGAGCTTAGTGCTCCCAACAACTACCGGCATAGGTGTGACATGGACATTGAACATGATCTTTTTGTCCATGTTCATCTTAAGACCTATCCGTTGGGAAACACTATCGAGGTCATTGAGCATAGTGCTTAGGTCCTCCAGCGATTCTACCATAAGGACTATATCGTCGGCAAATCGAAGGTGAGTGATGTACTCGCCATTGATGTTGATACCGTATCCTTTCCAGTCCAGAAGCTTGAAAACGTCTTCCAATGTTAAGTCTGTGAGGAATTCCATTTTAGTGCATACAATTGTCAGTGCATCTGAAGCTTTCTTTATTTGTACTTGGATACAGAGTGGGCTATAGCATCCACATCCACACATTCACAAAAAAAAACTGTCACCAGATTTCTCTTTAGAAAAATCATGACAAAAGCTAATAAATAATATGACAAGTTACTTATAAATACCTTGCTTTTGAAAATTTTCTTCGCGCAAAATACAAACAAGCGCGAGAAATTTATTGACCTCGCGTAAATAAAGCACTGTACCATTATTGAGCTTAATAAGGCTTGAGCTTTGACTATTGAATGTATTTACTTCAGTTTCATCCACCATCCTGTTACAATATGTTTCGTAAGTTAGTAAATTTTTATATCAGCTAAAAGGATTCAATTATACGGAAGTTACATTACGCACCCATATATACATGATATGTCAATGACCACATCTATCATATCACAGCATAGTTCATAACTTTGCATATCTACAGGAGAGCTGTCCGTTGCTATGTATATTTTGGAAACTACATCAAACAGGAATGCTTTTTCAATTCCGGAATTCTGAAAAATTTGATTACAATTATGGGGTATTTGTATAGTTTTCTCATCTGGTTGGGTTGTATAAATATATAATTGTAAATGAAAATGATAAACTTACATAAATATCAATAAAATAAAATAAATACATAAAAATTACATAAATATATAAAAACCCAACCAGATGGAAGCCCTCGGCAGGGGAGACCAAACGGCCGAGTGTTAGGGGGAAAGGGAAAGAAACCGGCGGACGATGCGGGCGGTATCGAGGAGCACCGCCTTCTGCATTTGAGCTTGGAGCGATCCGTTACGGAGTCCCAGTCGCCTCAGATGACCCGAGAGGCTGACTGGGATTAACCCGTTCGCAGAGACGACCACAGGAATAATTTCGGCCGGCAGACCACCCCAACATGTCGGTCACCTCGTGAGCCAGGTCCAGATATTTTGTCAACTTATCTGTTTCGGCTTTCACGAGGTTCTCGTCATAAGGAATGGTAATGTCGACCAAAAATATCCTTGACAGTGCCCGGTCCATCAGCACAATATCAGGCTTATTCGCAAGAATAGTCCTGTCCGTGATGATGGCCCGGTCCCAGTAGAGCCTGGCGCGGTCATTTTCGAGCACGGCTTCCGGCAAGAAATTATAATATGGCAGTTTCCGATCCACGAGACCGTATTTCAGAGCGAGCTCCTGGTGTAGAATCCTGGCTACTAGGTTGTGTCTGTGCAAATACTCAGAGTTAGAAAGCGCCGAACAACCGGAGATGACATGCCTAAGTGACTCACCGGGATGGCGACAAGCTCGACAGATGTCGACGGCGCCATCCTTTAGGATGTATTTCCGATAATTGTTGGTCTTAATAACCTGATCCTGTATCGCACAGACAAAACCCTCGGTTTCCCCAAAGAGGTCACCGAAACGTAGCCAGTGGAGGGAGGCGACTGTGTCTACGCAAGGCTCATGTAGGGCCTTGTAGAACCTCCCGTGGAGCTCCTTCTCCTTCCATACGGTCTCCCGGTGATATCCCGAAATGTTCTGTACTGCCGCGTCTTGCCATTGCTCGTTGGCTAAGGATAGAGGGGTAAGTCCTTTATCACAAGAAATAACGTCCCTATAGAATGGATCATCCGCTCTCATCAGAAAGTAATTACGGAGGCTGCACACTTCGCGATTATGCATGGTAAGCGCGCTTAAAAAACCGCGCACACCAGGGGACGTCATTATAGTGCGCACTTTTCTGTCCAGAGCGTTCAGTTCGGTCTGAGTCCACCTGAGCATGCGAAAGGTATACATGAGAACAGGCATGAACCAACCGTTATATGCATGTGTTTTATTAACGCCCGACAAAAGACTGTTAAGTACTTTTGTCAAGCGTGCATAAAACACACCGCAAACTGACTGTTTCATGTCCGCCTCATCGATACCTATGTTCTGTGACATACCCAGGTATCGGTATGTTTCAGCCTCGGATAGGGTCTTTATGTTGATGGGCATAGATAAGTCTATGCCCTCAGAGTTAGCAACCCTACCCCTTTCGACATGGAGGACCGCACACTTATCCGTCCCCAGCTCCATTCTAAAGAATTGCTAAAATCACAAGTGATTTTAGCAATTCCATAAGATGAGAGCGACTGGAGGCGAATAACTTGAGATCATCCATATAGAAAAGGTGGGTCACTTTTGTACCTCCTCTCCGAAGCTGAAATCCCCTCCCGGAATCCTTTAGTAAGTAACTGAGAGAGTTCAGAGAGAGGCAAAACCAGATTGGACTCAAACAATCGCCCTGGAAGATACCCCTTCTTATCCTTATGTGGTTCTCCGCAGCCATCATCCGCTCGCCTAGATGACAAAGGATCGTACTCCACTGCCCCACACACTGCCCGAGGAAGTCTCGAACTGTACAGTCAACCTTGTACAGCTCGACGACCCTCCCAAGCCATGTATAAGGCACCGAGTCGGATGCCTTTTTGTAGTCTATCCAGGCGGCGGAGAGGTTCCGACGGTTGCTTTTAACCACCTTGCCAATGACCGCGTCAATGAGGAGTGGTTCCTTGGTTCCACGACCGCCACCCCGACATCCATTTTGAGCGCGCGACATCACTTGATTTGAGTTCAGGTGACGAGTGATTCTCGCGCTCAAAATGGATGTTAGTGTCTTGTATATGGTAGGTAGACACGTTATGGGACGGTATTTGCTCGGGTCTGTGGAATCCCGGTCTTTAGGAACCAAATGAGTGATCCCAGTAGTGAAGAGGCTCGGGAGCGACTTTTGGTCGAGAGCCTCTTGAAACTGTCGGGCGAGAACAGCGTGACACACCACGAACCCCTTCAGCCAGTAGTGATGCAGTCCGTCGAGTCCCGGACTTTTCCAGTTCGGGGCCCTACGGACCGCCTCAGCTACGTCATCCGGCGTAATGATGAGGGGGTCCATGGGCGTAACATTCGCACACTGACTCGCCACAACTTCCGTCCAAGGGCCCTCGCTGTGGTTTACGGGCTCTGACCACAGGCCGCGCCAGAATGCGATAGCGTCGGCCTGATTCAGTGCTGGGCCCGTTCCACGTACCATTGGTCGCTCCAATGATTCATAGAGCCTCTTCTGATCACTCTGGAAGAGACGATTCTGGTTGAACCGTGTCGACCTCTCGGTATATCGCCGAATCCGCTTCCCCCAAGCAGCGATTCTCTGCTTCAGGTCGTCTATGCGCTCCGTCAGTTTTTGCGTTATATCCGGCTTTGTCCCAGCAAACGCCATCCTGACGGTGCGCACAATTCTCGGCCTATTATTGCCCGACCTGAAGCTTATCAGCCTGCCGATGAGGGCCCTTGCCTTTGCGATACGGTCCTCAATCCTTCTTCTCCTTGGGAAGTTTGGCGCCAATAATACGGCCAACTGCCAGTGCGGTGCCAAAAAGAATTGAGTTCGTCTCGCAAAGGTCCCGGCTGGCTTCCAAATAGGTCACCAGCATTGGGTTGAGAGCCCTCACGACAGCCCGATTCCGCTTGCTTAGGGGTATACGGGGAAGTCGCGGTCGATTCTCGAGAGGCGTACTGCGCGTTTCCCTAATCGCCTTTTCCACTATGCTCCTCATTTGCTCTTGTTCTGGGGCGACTATTCCATCGTCGCCTGAGTCAACTACAAGGAGATCTACGGCGGCATTTACATGTGCGGGTTGCTCTGCAACTCGTAGAGCCGCATCTCCTGTCGTAGCATTTTCAAAGGAATAGCCTCACGTCGTAGCCGTTCGAGTTCGGCGTCATCAAATATTTTTGAGCGCATGATGTACCGAACTCGGTCTGCCAGGTTATGCTCGGTAACGGTAATAGACGGCTCCAGCTCAGCAAATAGTCGGTGCATCCTAGCCCGATACCCAAAACCTCCAATTTCTCCCCCTTTCGCCCCAAAATACGCCCGCAATGCATTTTTGTTCATTTTGATTATTATTATTATTAAAAATTGTTTTTAACTGTTAAATCAGATATTGGGTTGATTTGTACGTTCAGTTTATTCAGTTCAAATTTTGTTTACCTTCCTTTTGCTTTATTGACATAATGATCTACAAGCCATCATAAACTATTTTCCTACTATGACTTCCCAATGTTTTACCTTGAGGCATATTTATCGTTATTTTTTAAAAACAAAATTACACTCGTGTGTACTAGGAATTCAAGCGGAACATGGATGGAATGAAGAAAACGGGAAGCAACTAACGCGTAGAGCCTTGCGTAGAGCCTAATGTAACAATTGTGAAAAAGATAAGAGAAGCAGAAAAAAATATTAGCCAAATTTTCTTAAAAAGTCAAAAATATGCTAGTCATAGTTAAATCATTAACAAATAAACAACAATTTTTTAAATTTGTTCTCCAAAATTTATTATGATTTAGGAATATTTAACAGATTAATTGCTAAAGAGACCTATAAAGTATTAAGAAAATTCCGGGGATTTTATAAAAAAAGGGGTTTTGATATACTTACAGAGATTAGTATATTGAGAAGATTTTCTAAGGTAGGCAGTTGCGGAATTAATTTTTGTACTACTTTACTGAATGCTTCAAATATAGAATGATCATAAATGGAGGTTAGATGAAATGATAAATGAACATGTTCTAAGCCAGCTTCTACCAAGTCTTCATTTGCTCGATGATGAATGTCTCTTTGAGATTCCATTTTATAGTCATCATTGAGACCATCTACCTGAAATTAATAACTGTTGTAATTGATATTCAATAAAATATATTTTGAAACTGAAATTGTCAAATAATGCTAATGCTTTGAAATAAATATGAAAAATATCTATTCAACAAGTATTTAAGAACAATCCATTACACTAAAACTGTGCAAGGCTTGGAAGTACTTACTTTATGGATGAACACTTCAAACTTTATATTGCTATTTACTCTGTACGCCTTTGTGACTGTAAGTTGTAGTTTATCCAGTGCATCTTGATAGTCATCCTTTAATCGGACAAGCAATATAGATTATTATTAAAAAAATATACACTGAAATCCTGGCTTGCTTGTGAATTTGACAGATTGGGTGAAATATCGAATTATCGTTATTTAAAAAAATAATATCTTTATTATATTTAATTATTTATTTCAGTTATTTTTGAAATGTCACTCTGCAAGCTATGAATCACACACACAAGAGCCTTCATAAGCATAGTTGCTGCCCATAAATCACATTCAATCTACTTGCATTTTCAAAAAATGTAACATCGGTATATAATAATTTATTTATTTAAAGTTAAATATAAAATGGCTACTCTTTGAAAAATAACCCCTTATATTATGTATAAAAATTATATTCATAATAATTTTATTTTATAAATAGTAATATAATATGCAAAAAATACCTGAGCATCTATTACAAAAACTAGTGCACCACAACCTCCAAATATAGTGTCAGAATCAAAAGTAGGATCAAAAAAATCTATTTGTCCAGGAAAATCCCAGATTTGAAATTGCACAAAGCTGCTGTTGTTAATATCATCTTTCACTATTTTATTAGTGGACTCTAAGAACAATGTTTCATTTGGTGACATTTTATGGAATACAACCTTTTGAATGGAAGATTTCCCTGACCTAAAACAAAAAGAAATATTAAATATTTACAAAAACAAAAGTAAGCATTATACAAATATTATACCTAGTTATACATTTGGGACAGATTTCCCAACCTTTTTTTTTGTAGTTTTTTTTAGTATTTTTTTTTTTTGTAGTAGAAACCACAAGGTGCTAGAAAAAACTGTGTTAATCTAACAATAAATTATAATCACAGCTTTTAAGATAATTATATAATAAACTGAAAAGAAGCTTTCAATAACACTATTTGTGTATTTATTGTAAAAGCTAGAAGGAACTTATTAACGTGCCATGCGGAGTTGCACTGCCAATTGATTATGTAGGTAAAATATTTAAGATCTTGCATCTCTAATTTAAGAAGTAGCCCTAATATCATAACAACCTGTTGACCCCAAATTGTCTAAGTGTCCAATATTTAGAAATACCCACTATATCACAACATCTTGATCATAAATTGTCCTTACTAAGCTTTAAATATTACATTACTAGTAAACACATTATGAAGCACAATGTTACACAAGACAGTGACACAATAGTGATTTCAATATACATACTTGTTTTGACCACATTTTAAGTCATTGCATTAGGAATTATATTCATTATAGTCATAATAAATTTTAATTAATTACTGTAATGGAATTGTATTGAATGTCATTGAGATATAATTGCAGTTTTTACTACAGCACTGTTTAGAAAACTTAACTACCTTCTGAAAAGTTTTGATTAAATACCCCATACTATTGAAATGTGAGGGACAACAGGAAGGCGAAAAAGAGAGTGGGGCCCCTGAAGGGCTACCAGTAATTACCAGAAGGGCCGCCCTTGTGGTACTAATTGGTCCTTCTGGTACTTCTGGCTTCTCTGCTGTAACCCATAATTAGCTAATAGCACTTTATTACGACAGTTTTGTGGGACAGTGGTTTAGGAATGAGTTACGACGCTGAGGCCCGCAAGTTCGAATCCCGCAGGGAACAAGTATTTGTATGGCTTACAAGTAATAATTCCAGGTCTGGATGTTTGTCATTGTGCAATTTATGTATGTAAACTGTCTGCACGGAACAGGAGAAAATCCTAAGGGTAATATTGTTTTAAAACAACTTGCCCCCACCTATCCGCCAACTAAATACTATCAGCCTCTTCAAGGTAAAAGTAAAAGAATATTTTTGGCAATTTAACATTTAGGGCGGATAAAATAGCTGCATTATATTTTCATAGCATAATATAAATATCTATATTGTTCTATTGTAAATACTCATTATATTATTTATTATATACATTTATATTATATACCTACTGCATAAATAAAGTTCCAATCCTTTTTCATTTCCATTATTTTATTATTATGATAACATCATCATCATCATCATCATTACAGCCCTTCACAAGTCCACTGCTGAACATAGGCCTCCCCCAAAGAATGCCACAAAGCACGGTCCTGAGCCACCTGCATCCATCGACTTCCTGCATGTCTTACCAGGTCGTCACTCCATCTCGTGAGGGGACGCCCTACACTTCGCCTACCGGTACGAGGCTGCCACTCGAGAACCTTTCTTCCCCATCGGTTGTCGGTTCTTCGAGCTATATGGCCGGCCCACTGCCACTTCAGCTTACTAATCCGTTGGGCTATGTCGGTTACTCTGGTTCTACTGCGGATATCCTCATTCCTAAGTTTATCACGCAGAGAAACTCCGAGCATAGCCCTCTCCATAGCTCGCTGACCGACCTTGAGCTTCCTCATACGGCCAGCAGTGAAGGACCACGTCTCAGTTCCATAAGTCATCACTGGCAACACGCACTGGTTGTACAATTTCGTTTTCAGGTTTTGAGGTATGTCTGACGAGAAGATGTGTCGTAGCTTCCCGAACGCTGCCCAGCCGAGTTGAATCCGTCGATTGACCTCTCGGTCGAAGTTGGACTTACCTAGTCGGACTATTTGTCCCAGGTAAACATACTCGTCAACAACTTCGAGCTTAGTGCTCCCAACAACTACCGGCATAGGTGTGACATGGACATTGAACATGATCTTTGTTTTGTCCATGTTCATCTTAAGACCTATCCGTTGGGAAACACTATCGAGGTCATTGAGCATAGTGCTTAGGTCCTCCAGCGATTCTGCCATAAGGACTAAATCGTCGGCAAATCGAAGGTGAGTGATGTACTCGCCAATGATGTTGATACCGTATCCTTTCCAGTCCAGAAGCTTGAAAACGTCTTCCAATGCAGCGGTGAAGAGTTTCGGGGATATGACGTCACCCTGTCTTACACCTCTCTGCAATTGGATAGGTTTCGTACTCTGGTTCTGTACTCGGATAGCCATCGTAGCCCTACTGTACAAGCACTTCAACACTTCGATATACCGACAGTCAACTTGGCCCCGCTGAAGGGACTGCAGCACCGCCCAAATTTCGACGGAATCAAAGGCTTTCTCATAGTCCACATACGCCAGACATAGTGGCAAATTGTACTCTTCGGACTTCTGTACAATTTGCCGAAGGGTATGTATGTGGTCTATGGTGCTAAAGCCCTTTCGGAAACCGGCTTGTTCGGGAGGCTGGAAGTCGTCAAGTCTGCGCGCGAGACGATTCGTAATGACTCTCGAAAACAGCACGTAGACGCGGCTCAGAAGGGAAATCGGTCTGTAGTTCTTCAAGAGAGCGTTGTCACCTTTCTTGAAGAACAAGACCACCGCACTTCTGCTCCACGATTCCGGTGTAATGCCACCATGGAGGACGGAATTAAAGAGCTTCTGAAGGACTTCAAGTACCGGTCTTCCACCCGCTTTCAGAAGCTCCGCTGTGATTCCATCCTCGCCTGGGGCCTTACCGTTATTAAGGTGCTGGAGAGCCATTCTAATCTCGCTCAGACTGACGTCCGGGATATCTTCGGAATAGTGTCGGATGAGACTCGCTCTTGGATCGTTACTCACGCTTGCGTGTGGCTCCAACGATGACGTGTACAGCTGCCCATAGAACCTCTCAATCTCACTCAAAATCTCAGGTGTCCCGGAAATGATGCTGCCACATTCTGTCTTCAGCTTTGACAGGTGGCTCTTTCTGGCAGACAGATCTCTGGCAGACTTTGGAGCCTTGGTTCCGCTCGATCGCTTCTTCAATACGAGCTGTATTGAAGTTGCGTAAGTCCCGCCGCATGCATTTGGAGATCTGTCTGTTCAGATGCCTGTATGCTGTCAAGTCTGTTGAAGAATGTAGCTTCATCTCCCGTCTAACAGCCATGAGATTAAGAGTGTGATCGGAGAGTTTTTGTGTTCTTCTGCGGCGGGTCTTGCAGAACTTAGCTCCGACCGCATGGACAGTTTCCACGAGCTTGTCATTCATATCGTCCACTTCATTGCAGTCTTCTAGGCGCTGAAAACGGTTTTGTAACTCGAGCTGAAAGGTTTCGGGACTTTGGAACAGAGCACGAGGGGGACGGAGCGTTGACTTCATTAGACGAGACCTCTCCAACTTAACGTTTAGGTTCAGTGTGCCTCTAACCATTCGGTGATCGCTACCAGTTTTCACCCTCGCGATCACGGAGACATCACTGAACAGTTGTCGTCTGGTCGTCATAATGAAGTCAATCTCATTTTTTGTCGAACCGTCGGGGCTCGACCAGGTCCACTTCCTGTGGGGCCGCTTCTGGAAGAAAGAGTTCATCATAAAGAGTCCCTCTTTCTCCATGAAGTCGGCCAGCTGCTGGCCCCTTGGGTTCCGTTGCCCTATTCCAAATTTTCCTACTTTCAGCTCACCGTTCTCTCTTGTGCCTAGTTTTGCATTGAAGTCTCCCATTAACACCGTATATTGGGTTTTGGAGGAATGCATGGCTCTAGAGATATCCTCATACATTTCCTCCACCTCCCCATCGAGGTGTGCCGAGGTTGGTGCGTAAACCTGTATGACCTTCAGCGAATACCGTTTGGTGATTCTGAGTATAAGGTACGCAACCCTCGTCGACACACTCCCGATCTTTACAACGTTGTTAACGAGAGACTTGTGAACGATAAATCCGACACCTCCTTAGGACAGATGGTCGCCCTCCCGGTGATAGAGCAAGTTGCCGGATTCGAGGATTACCGTGTCCTCCCCCTCTCTTCGGACTTCGGATAATCCTATAATATGCCAGCGCAACTTGTCTATCTCTTCTTCCAGCTCCACGATCTTCTCGTCAGTCCTCAGGGTGCGTGCGTTGTACGTTGCCAGGTCGAGTCGTCTAAGGTGGCAACCGAACCTCCACCGGAGATTCTTAGCACCCCCTGCCCCGCCGTTACCATGGTCGCCACCGTAGCCAGGAATAGCGGGGCCGCCGGGGACTGGGGGCCGTCTCTTTGTTACATTCATAGGGGGGTATTTGCCATAGTTGCCACGCTTGGCGAGCGGGTTGGCAACCGCAGTTTTTTTATTGTAATTTTGGCTATTATCAGGAAGATGCTGCTGCCCATCTCCTGCCTGTTTCCCTTTGTCGCCTTTTACGACACCCACGGGAGGATATGGGGTAGTGGTATTCTTGACCGCCACTACACGGGAATGATAACATCTATCTCGAAAATAGAAATTAAGCGAACATACTATCCTCGCGAGCGAGTCCAAACTCAATAGGTGTTGCTGAAAACCAACGCCACCTCAATTCTGCGATAGCATTATATTGAGTCAGTGCCCTTTTCAGCACTACATAACTCATGCAGTCGGATCATTTTATGACTGTTTTTTCTTATTTACTTATATCTTTGATGTTTTTATGTATCATTTTATTTTCTGTATCAAAACTGTATGAGTGTAAGTTGCTGAATAAATGCATGTCTGCATGCAGCCAAACCCAATCTCAGGGTTAGGGTCTTTTTCTGGGCTGAGTAGTTTTTCCTAAGCCCCATGCAATGAACCAGATGTTTATGACTAGAAATTTCTTGTATGGTTAAACATGCTAATCTCTGGAACTACAAGTCCATATAGGCTATTTAGCATTCCCCCCCCCCCCCCGAACCATTTCCCGCCCTGTCGTGGCGCGGAGGCTTAGTAGCCGTGGCTTGGTCACCCGTGGTGAACTAAGAGGAACCCACATGATTTGCCCGAGGTGGCCATTCTGAGTGGGCTTGGTGAGCCCACTCGGAAAGTTGTAGGCCACAGAGAAATCATACCATGTGTTGTGGTGCACTCTACCTGAGGAGATGGGGAGGAGCAAGAAGATTACTCCTCTATAAGCGAGTTATGTCGCACGGCTCAGGGCGTGTTATATGCAGGTGATACCACGTGGAACAACTAGTTCAGTATAAGTGTTTCATATTATTTCATCTCCTCTGTGTGCGATGCTTTACAAGGTTAATATAACTTTTAACTCTTAAAATAAAGAATTAAAAATATTACTAATTTATTATCAAATAAATTAAATTAATTATATTAAATGAAATTATCATAACCAATCCATTCTTAACAATCCATATTTTCATATTTTACTGATTTTTTTGAGTTTAGGTCATCTCGTCTATTGTCTATTTTATTTTATGGGCCACCTTGAGAGTCAATCAATTTTCTACAGACTTCAAACAGGAGGTACTCAATTCGACTGTATTTTTTTAAATGTGTATTACCTCGTAACTTTTTTATGGGTGAACCTATTTTGATGATTCTTTTTTTATTTAAATGCTGGTGCTTCACATGTAATCCGTATTAATTTGATCAAGGTCTGACCAATAGTTTTTGAGTTATTCTTAAAAATTTATATTGAAGTCGGTTGTACAAAATTTTTAATTTTAAATTATTGTTCTATAAAATTATTTCACCTATAGAATGGTAGGCGTCGCTTTTACAAAGCAATTTTAGTCAAAATATTTTCTTTTGATTTAATACAATAAAATTTAGATTCTACATGTCTAAAATTAGGATTGTAACATTTATTTGCTATAAAATTTAACTTTTATCTTTTATTTTATGCCACATTTGTGGTTGAACATTATCAAATTAAATAAATCCTTCGCTGTGAAATGTTTTTAATTTATATTTTCATTTCATTTGAAAGTTCTATTTCTACTGCATGTGAACTGAACACTTGTAATATTTTTCTTAATTTTCTTGAAAACTCTGCATATCCATGCCCTGAAACATTGTGTATGTATATAAAAAATGTCTCTTCTTAGGGTGAGCCTACCTTCTTAATCCCATGAGAAGAATTCGTGGCTTATGATCTTCCTGTAGTGAAGTGTTATCATTTTCTCCATTTTGTTCAAAAGGTCCGTAGCTGAAGTCCTTAGGGAATGATCCCACATAACTAGATTCATCCTGATAGCTCTACATACAAAAAAATAAACTTAATTGATTTGTTTTCAACAAATAAATGTCTGTAAAAAGGTAACTCACCATATTGATATTTTTTATCTAAGGGCAAATAGTTATCAAGTTATACATCAACTTGAATTACTACATTTCCAACTTTGTTTCCTTTTTAAAAAAATTCAGAAAAGAAAGTTTCACTACAGAGAAATTTTGTAAAAAGTAACCATTACATGGACAACACACTTTTTTTAATGTATATTTGTGGTATGATGTGGAAAAATACTCAATAAAAAGTTAAATTCGACAACCATTAACAATGTTCAGTATGAATCATGAAACAAACATCATTATCACTATTTTTCGATAACAAGGACTGTAGGCACTACAACAGAGCAATTACTATAATCTAGGGGTAAAGTGTTCTGTGACTGTGACTATATTTGAACTTAGATATTATGAATTAATCGTCGTTTCCACAGACCTAAACGGCCATTTCTAGTGCATTTCTATTTCGTCATTCGTCAATGGTCAATCAAGTTTGAAACTGAAATGACATTTGAGATTTTATAATTTATTAGAAGGCAAAGGAATTAAAAGCCATACAGCCTATTTCGTATTTTTCCACAAAGTACTAATGCGCCTCAAAGTTGGATCAATCTACGAACCTAAAAAAATTGTGTTCGCATAATGGAAGTTCATAAATTTGGACTTCCTGATTAGCTATTTGCTGTGATATAAAATGGGATATAACTATCTATATTTTACATCCATTATTTTGTAAATTAATGGTGATTTAATAAAAAACAACCGTGTCGACGATACGGGACCTGTCACGGTCTATCGACTGTTCTTTGACGTCATGTGAAGGTTGAACGGCTATTTAAAAAAGAAATACTTAAGCTACCAGCAAATTTTATAAATTTTGAAACGAAACATATCCTCAACATTGATATTAATAGAGTTTGAAAAGTTATTTGACTTAATTATAAAAAATATTAATGTTTCTACAAGCGTTATAATTTTTTTGTCACAACTGTCGACATGTAAAGTTTTGAATACTAGAATCAGAAACTTTATTATTGTAACGTGGTTTTGCTTTTTATGATAACTCTAGTGCATTCTTGTCAGTGGTCAGTCGCATTTTTTGATGGAACATAAGCGAGCTGCTGAAAATTTTAAATTGAAAAGGGGTTCTACAAGTGTGTCAAAGTTGAGGAGTCACTTCCTAGATAAAAAATAAAAGATTAGTAATATGATAAGAAAAAGGTTTCACTTTATTTCGAAACCACAATGAATATTTATTGCCTCTAATGTGTAGCTGTTAACCTGAATAGATTAAAATTTGTCACTATTGTCGAAGTCAATTCTGTGGACTAGTTTGTCTTCAGAAGTGACGACTATCTACCGAAGTGACTACCACCTATATTTATTATGTATTTAACGCTTGTCAGTGCAACTCATGTTTTACAATAAATAATAAGTAATTCAAAGCCATTTTTTTTTGTTATTTCTATGGTTGTCACCTCCGAGTGTGGCGGAAATTTGAGAAAAACGTTGTTTAATATTTTGTGTTGTAGTAGCTATCATAAGCTTGCGTGCGTGCTTTATAAGATACGTTAACAAATAACTATATAATTTGTATGTTCTTCTTCTACTTAAAAATTCTACCAAATTTAAACCTTGATAAGATGTATTTATTTATATATAGCATACAATTTAGTAATAATTCAAGGGTCTAACATAAATTCTATCAAACTTTAAAATAATATTGAATCACATTTTGACTTTGTAATAACAAAATCTTCAAAACCATAGTTTGTGTACTTGTGGCACAGATCTAAATTGAATTTTATTTTATACTTAGGTGGTTAAAAATATGATGATAGACAAAGAGAAGAAGGATCGGTGAGGGCAGCAACAGAAGGAATTGGATACGAAAAAAAAAGGTCAACAATGACTAAAGCTATGTTAGTAGAAAGAAGAAAAAAAGATGGAGTAAAATATAAAATTAATAAAGAGTCAGGATTAGTAAAAAGTATCAACAATCTGACTTCAAGAATACAAAAGCAAGTACCAAAACAACGTCAAGAATGTACTCAAAAACACCGTGAAAAGAAAAAAGAGCTCGGAGAAACTGAGAATAGACTAAAAATGAAACATCGCTTTTCTAATCAGTGCTGCAAACCTCCAGATATACAAGAAATTTCATAGGTCGGCAGATTGCAGAAAAAAATTGAAAGAAAATAAAAGCTGAAAATAAATATTTAAAATGTATATAAGATAAGATACCATATATACTACAAGATGAGAATGCTACTAAAAATCACGACAAGGCACCCCAGACGACATCGGAGGAGCCATTGTGAGATACTTCTCTGAATGTGAATAATTAATTACTTGTTTGCAAGAAAAATGCAGAGGAATCCAAATATTACCCATTAATGAGACTCATATTGATCATATGTTTTTTTTATAGAATAAGGGTGACAAATGAGCACACAGTCCACCTGATGGTAAGTGGTTACTGTGGCCCGTAGACATCCACATCTATCTTCGTTTGCGAATTAAAATGCAGATGCGTTGTCAGCCGTGAGGACTGAGATGGAATGCCCCTTTTCCAGTAAAAAGGGTCTCCGGTTCTTTACACTCACCATACGAAACACAGCACCATTAAGCTGCTATTTTACGCTGGTACTCTGTGAGAGCGTAGTCCTACCCCGGTCGAGCCGACCCATTCGTGCTACAACTATACTGGATAAAATAACCACATTTTCGTTTAAGGAGTACTCTATATAAACGCCAACTAACTCGGAGCAAAAGTAATAAGGATGTGATACACGCAACGGTTTCCATCGCGAGATGGGTATCATCTTAATAACATATAAAGAGACCATAACACAGAGGATATTGTTACTGGTTCACCAGAGTCACTGTTAGAATTGTGAGGGACGAAGAAAGCGATGACAATATTAATCTGCGACAACCATTAACAGAAAATATAAATAACCTTGATTCTCCATCTAACTTTTGTGTCATTCCTGAATCTAAAATAGGTGTTTGTGCAACTGGTGATTCCATTTGCAATATCCATCCAAGACCAAAACGTTGTCAACTTTGTACATCATCATCCACAAGTGACTAAAAAAATCTTTTGAAGGGTCGACAGAAATGATGTCACTTCTGTTTGTCTATTTTTCTTGATTTTTTACTGCTTTACTGTGATAAGTTAACATCTATCCAGAATGATTATAAGACTTGCAATATTAACAATTTGTTGTTAGAAATTTATGTTAGTTTAGGTAGTTTATGTTATTTTATAAAATTTAGGACTTCAATGACAAAACTAGTCATTCCTGTAGACTTCGTGGTCACTCCTATCTATTGTTATAATAAAATTGTTAATTGCTAGTTAAGTGCTTATTTTACCACGTGCTCGGCGCTGAAACACTCGTAACTAATCGTGACTAAACTTACATATATACGGAATAAGAATATTTCTAAGACATGTGAATTACGTTGTGGAACACTTTTGTGGTCTAACCGCTCCATAACCTTCTCAGAATAGAGTGGAGGCCTCTGTCTATCGTTAGGACATAATATATTTTTTTGGAACATAAGAAATAATTGCACGGAATTTGCACGGCTATCTCTAGTTGTTAGTAGTGCTTCAAGAATTTTTTTAACACAATTACACCTTCAGCTTTGACTTCGATCGTAAGTTAAAGAACTTCGGCTACGGCAAAAACGGACTTTCGGAAGGACATATTTTTTGTATGTTACGCTATTTCTTCGCCAATGATGTGAATGAAATTGGCATGCATGACTTTTTCTGCCACCAAGGCGGGCCCTTTTGTGAATGAGGTGAAATATTTAACAGATTTTTCAGTGTGGGAAGTAAATTTGTTAGAAAAGTATAGAGATTAATGTTTCTTTACTATATTTTAACTGTAGTTTGCTTTAGCAATTAAAACAATAAATAAAAAAATCACAAACAGATCGCTAAACCTATCCATATTACTATATTCGGATCAGTTGCTAGACCTATCTGTATATTGTATGAGGGCGGCGGCTGTGTTGGTAAACAAATCCGAAACAACGCGACTGTTAATATTGAAATTTTTAAGTTTATGAAGAAGTAAATAGCAATAATGTGATAAAAATTACTTTTATATAAAAGGTATCTTTTTGTAAATTTTACGTAACAGTTCTCTTTTAGCAGCAATAAAACCGAATAACTTGGCATTTTGTGGGACGTCTATTCAGTCGAGTGCGGCTGCAACTACTTTTATTGTACGCATATGATCACGTCGACTTATAATTTGACAGAGGGGAACGCCTGCGTATGGCTACTCTCCTTCAGTCTACCAGTGACCTGTGTATTTGAATAATCGTTTGACGTGGATTTTAATACATAAAAGTGCTACGATTTAGTGTATAAAATTTCTGCGCATATGAACTATTAGTGTAAATGATGTAACAAGTGCTCGATGGTGATATGAATATCAAGATTTTTATCCTCATAAGATATTAACGTCATCAATTATCTGCTGGGTTAAGCAGTCGTAAAAATCTTCCTTCTAAGTACTTCGCAATGTGTCACATCAGTATTTAGATTAGGCTGTATGGTTTAAGACTTTTGCCTGCTTTAAATGGCGAATCGTAACAACAATCAACAACTTAACTTCATTTTCATTGTTTAGTTATTGAAATTGAAATCGAGGAATCGTACTTCATAATTCATAGGTGTAATGTGAATGTGAAGTAAAGTAATAAAAGTGCTTCTACAACTCAGGATTAAATTATTTAAATTAGTAATCTATGGCTTTTTATTTGAAGTGAAATATCTAGTTTATGCTACCAGTTTTCAAGTCATCTAAATTTGTAAGTATAACTTGTACATATTTTTTGTTTGGTGAAAACATTGGAGGTAGATTTGTTATGATAAGTCATATTTTCAGGTTTCTAAATGCGTTTTTGATATTTAGGAAATTCTACATCAAGTAATATAAAAATATATGAGAAGGAGCCTTTGTTAAATGTTCGGCATTTATTTAAGCGACAAAGGAAATATTGCAAAATAAATCTGCGTGTTTTTATTTTATTAAACATGTGTTAGTGTATTTCCTAAAGGGTCACACCATATAACATGTCTACTTAAGTATAAACCTCAATATTATGAAATAATTTAATTAATTGTATATATACCTGAGACCTGGGTGACTGAGCTTCATGTGGAGCTATATTCATTTTATATTACTGTTTCTATAAAATTCTATTACAACTACAAAATAGTTAAAAACAAAACTAAACTTCGCTTTCCAATATCAGGCTGGCATTCAAGAACATTTTTTCCCTATAGGTTTTTTTTATAAAAGAGATAACAGTTTATTAAACTAATCTGAGGGCTGCAGAGAGTCCAATCCTCCTGTTTTTGTAATGATCTCTATATGGGTCATTCTATGAAAGAGGTTTTGTTTCCATAGAGGATGAGGGCAAGAAGAAAAGTTGTAATTTTTTGATTAAACACATATTAAAGACTTTTGTCCCTTTTATGCACACATTCACATAAGGACAAGTCCATTTTTACTACTTTTTGAACGCCTGGGTGAATACATTGGACAGGGGAGAGACTTGGACATAATAAAACAATTATTAAAATTTACTTTTATTAAACATTGTACATAACTTATAATTAGAGTATAATTTTTGTATTACAGCTTTTCTTTAAATCTTAAACTACAGCTTCTTTAGTGTCTGTGACAAAAAAAGGAGATTTTTTGTCAAATACACTAAAGATTATTTATTAGTAAACTAAGAAATGACAGAGACATCGTACCTTCAACAAATAATAAAACATACATTCTTTAATCAATACTAATTAAAGAGACTAGTTATTTTTGCAACTTCATTATTTCATAGCTTGCTTTCACTTTACGTTTATTTTCAATCATACTCCAATTTTTTTCAAAGGATTTATATTTTTTTCTTTCGGTAGTACCAACCATATTTCATTAAATTTCTCAGTAATACATCTTTTAAAAATGCGTTTTTTCTTTTCATTTGTAAGAGTAGAATAATTTTCTTCTATTTGTGTATGAGTATACTTCAGTAAACAGTATTTTGTTTATTGTGTTTCTGGAACTTGGAGAATTCGTCACTTGTTCTACTTTGCTGTTATGGGTTAGTTTTTGATGTTTTTTTTTATATTTCTCATCTTTATTTGTAACGTGCCAATTTCTTCTTTACATTTTTTACTTAGATAGATAGATAGATAAAGCATTTATTTGTTTCTCCAAATTATGTACTTTAAATTAATTAATTAAATAAATTAATTAAATTATATACTTTATTATTTTTTTACATGGTATAGCCATGCTGCAGCTATATCAATAGTATAGTTGTAGCACAAATGGGTCGGCTCGATCAGGGAAGGACCACTCTCTCACAGAATACCAGCATAAAGTAGCAGATTAATGCTGCTGTGTTTCGTATGGTGAGTGTAGAGAACCGGAGACCCTTTTTACTGGAAAAGAGGCATTCTATCTTAGTCTTCGCGGCTGACAGCGCATCTGCATTTTAATTCGCAAATGAAGATAGATGCAGATGTCTATGGGTCACAGGAACCATTTAGCATCAGGTGGACTGTGTGCTCGTTTGTCACCCTAATTCTATATAAAAAAAATCCTCTTGTTGTCTATTATTTAAATATGTTTGTCTTCTAGTTTGGTCTCATCTGTAACAATATTATAAACAACAAAGTAATAACTATATATCATTAAAATCGGATTATAAACAAAGAAATAAGCCAAGAACACATGAAAAACCATCCCTGATTAAAAACAGGTTTGGAAACTAACTCAGAAGGAATTCAAACAAATGCCCTTTATGCAAAATGTATATATCTATATACTCCATAATATTAGGGTTGCCAACCCCAAATTTAAAAATCTAGGATTTGAAGTTGAGAAAACCAGGACAATCCAGTTTAAAAACAGGATGCAGTAAAGGCCTAGTGAAACATAACTGCGAACCGAACCAAAAACGTGGCAAATGTATGTACTATGTGTGCAAGTACTGGTTCGTTTTCGCTTTTTATATGTTACTAAATTCAAATGATATCATACATAACAAAAAACTATTGGTAAATACAATTGTGCATGTCCTAAGCGCTATAAAAAAATTACGTATAACATGATTATTGATTATACGTAATTTTTCTTAAGTAGTTTAAATACACACGTTTTCACTAATAACCTTATTACTATACTTCTAATTTTCCAATAATTTTATGTCAAACTTCAATTTTTTTTTATATGATGAGGGTGACAAACAAGCACACAGTCCATCTGATGGTAAGTGACTGCTGCGGCCTATAGACATCTACATCGAACAAAATGCAGATGCGTTCTCACCTGTGAGGACTAAGATAGATTGCCTTATTTCCAGTAAAAAGGGTCTCCGGTTCTCTACACTCACCATACGAAACACAGCAGCATTAAGCTGGTATTCTGTGAGAGCGTGGTCCTTCCCTGGTCGAGCCGTCCCATTCGTGCTACAACTATACTACTAATATAGTTGCAGCATGGGCCTACCACATAAAAAAAGTAAAAAAAAAAGTTTGGAAAATCCAAAAGTGCACGGCACTCGTAATGCTCATATGATAATCATAACATTCAGGTCACTCCATAAAGTACATGACGTATTTAAGTATAAATATAATTAAATATATACATCTTACTTACTTTTAGTACGTCATACTAATATTTTTTCTGTGCTTTAAAAATATTGTAATAAAAATCTCTGATTATTATAATAATCAAGTATGTATAAAATTTGGTTTTTTGAATATTTTGTATTTGTACAGCGATCTTTTTTAGCCACTGAAAACAATCGATATAGTATCCATTCACGACAGCGGTTGACGCCGACGTAAGTGAGTGAGGCAGTCTATTTAGTAAAATAAATTATTACAAGACTGCTAAAACACCGAAAATTTCCGAATTTCTTATCATCATCATCATCATTACAGCCTTTCACAAATCCACTGCTCAACATAGGCCTCCCCCAAGGAATGCCGCAAAGCACGGTCCTGAGCCACCTGCATCCATCGACTTCCTGCATATCTTACAAGGTCGTCACTCCATCTAGTGGGGAATCGCCCTACACTTCGCCTGCCGGTACGAGGCTGCCACTCGAGAACCTTTTTTCCCCATCGGTTGTCGGTTATTCGAGCTATATGGCCGGCCCATTGCCACTTCAGCTTACTAATCCGTTTAGCTATGTCGGTCACTTTGGTTCTACTGCAGATATCCTAATTTTTAAGTTTATCACGCAGAGAAACCCCGAGCATATCCCTCTCCATAGCTCGCTGAGCAACCTTGAGTTTCCTCGTCCGGCCAGCAGTGAAGGACCACGTCTCAGTTCCATAGGTCATCACTGGCAACACGCACTGATTGTACAATTTCGTTTTCAGGTTTTGAGGTATGTCTGACGGGAAGATGTGTCGTAGTTTCCCGAACGCTGCCCAGCCAAGTTGAATCCGTCGATTGACCTCTCGGTCGAAGTTGGACTTACCTAGTCGGACTATTTATCCCAGGTAAACATACTCGTCAACAACTTCGAGCTTAGTGCTCCCAACAACTACCGGCATAGGTGTGACATGGACATTAAACATGATCTTTGTTTTGTCCATGTTCATCTTAAGACCTATCCGTTGGGAAACACTATTGAGGTCATTGAGCATAGTGCTCAGGTCCTCCAGCGATTCTGCTATAAGGACTATATCGTCGGCAAATCGAAGGTGAGTGATGTACTCGCCATTGATGGTGATACCGTATCCTTTCCAGCCCAGAAGCTTGAAAACGTGTTCCAATGCAGCGGTGAAGAATTTCGGGGATATGACGTCACCCTGTCTTACACCTCTCTGCAATTGGATAGGTTTCGTACTCTGGTTCTGTACTCGGATAGCCATCGTAGTCCTACTGTACAAGCACTTCAACACTTCTATACACCGACAGTAAACTTGGCATCGCTGCAGGGACTGCAGCACCGCCCGAATTTCGACGGAATCAAAGGCTTTCTCATAGTCCACATACGCCAGACATAGTGGCAAATTGAACTCCTCTGACTTCTCTACAATTTGCTGAAGGCTATGTATGTGGTCTATGGTGCTAAAGCCTTTTCGGAAACCGGCTTGTTCGGGAGGCTGGAAATCGTCAAGTATGCGCGCGAGACGATTCGTAATGACTCTCGAAAACAGCACGTAGACGCGGCTCAGAAGGAAAATCGGTCTGTAGTTCTTCAAGAGAGTGTTTTCGCGTTTCTTGAAGAACAAGACCACCGCACTTCTGCTCCACGCCTCCGGTGTAATGCCACCATGGAGGACGGAATTAAAGAGCTTCTGAAGGACTTCAAGTACCGGTTTTCCACCCGCTTTCAGAAGCTCCGCTGTAATTCCATCCTCGCCTGGGGCCTTGCCGTTTTTAAGGTGCTGGAGAGCCATTCTAATCTCGCTCAGACTGACGTCCGGGATATCATCGGAATAACGTCGCACAAGACTCGCTCTTGGATCGTTACTCACACTTGCGTGTGGCTCCAACGATGATGTGTACAGCTGTCCATAGAACCTCTCAATCTCACTCAAAATCTCAGGTGTCCCGGAAATGACGCTGCCACACTCGGTCTTCAGCTTCGACAGTTGGCTCTTTCTGGCAGACAGATCTCTAGCAAAGACTTTGGAGCCCTGGTTCCGCTCAATCGATTCTTCAATACGAGCAGTACTCGTATTAAAGTTGCGTAAGTCCCGCCGCCATGCACTTGGAGATCTGTCTGTTCAGTTGTCTGTATGCTGTCAAATCTCCTGAAGACTGCAGCTTTTTGTC